GTCCTAGGTAATGCGAGACCTGGGTGCATGGGATCTCGTCCGCAGGTGTGACCTCTGAGCCTCGGAGTTCAATCCCTAACCCCACCAGGAAGAGGAGTGCCAGTCCTAATTCACCCCCTAGGAACCCAAGATGGGTTGATGTCTCTCAGCCTCAGGGTCTGCCCGTTCTCCTGGGATCACTGGGCCAGCAGCATCTGGGAGGGCTGGTGGGTAGGGAGCTCATCGTCTGAGTTCCCCTCAGTCAGCTATAGGGCCCCAAAAGGGAAGGTCCCATTTCCTGGAGGTGCCTCCAGCTGGTGGCTATATTGTCTCTCTCGGCAGCCGCGGATAGGGACAGGCGAGTGGAGAATGAGGCAATATGGCGCTTGCCATGCGGCTCAGGTCTGTGCATACGGAGTTGCCCCAAGGGAGTTGGGAGCCTGGTGCCATGTCCGCTATAAGTGGTAGCTCACTGGTGGTGGCCGTCTCTGGGCTGGTGTCCACAGGTCTCTCCAACCGCTGGGGAGCCCACCAGCAGTCCGAGATGCAGGGGAGGGGAAAGTTAGCCGCGCCACCTACCCTTGTTGGTGATCTCCAGGCTACACGGGAGGTCTCTTCTTCCAGTTCTCCTCCACAACCTCCTCCCGTGGTCTCAGGTAGCCCTCCTTCTGACCCTTCTTCGATGTATGCTCAATTGCTTGCTTCTTTCTTTTAATTTCTCCTAGAATCTGTCTTTTCTGCAGACACTCTGTCTAGCATTGTTTCTAGTCCGCCATCTTGCTCCGCCCCCCAAATGGTATTTTTTTTTTAATAAAGGTCTTTTCTTTAAGTATAGTGGGCTGACCCTTTATGGATGATCTGAGCTCTCCTATGACAGTCCACACATCTTTTTCCTTCTCCTCTGAAACAACTGCAGCAGCCCATGGTGTGCACACACCATGCCTTACTAACCACTCTCCACATAGGATTGCTGCAATTAACATTTTATGCACAGGTATGAGCACTGTCTAAGCCAGATGCGTAGAGGTGGAAATGCTAGGTCAAAGGGATGCCTCATGTGACAACCTGGTGGTCCTGGCCATGTATGGTTCACACCTGCACCCACTGTGCATGAGCACCAGGAAGCTCTCTGTGCACAAGAGTTTGACAGAAACTGAAGTCTCTGCCTCTGCTAGCAAAGTCTCTGGCTCGTGTAGCTGCAATGGGGCAACTCCTCTGTGGTCTTAGGTCCTGACACCTATAGAGGCCTCACCCAACACATCTAGACATGTGGAAGGCACCCAACTCCTATTTAACAGTGGCTCCCAGACCACTGCAAAAGCCACAGCAATGGCAGTAATGAAGTATGAAAAGAAATAAAGCCATAACAGTGCCAAAAACAGGATGGGAAAGGAAGCAGCAAATGAGAGACTACAATTCATGTCTCAAAGTGAGGAAGCAGAAGGCAGCGCATAAGAGGATGAAATGATGTTGGAGGAAGCTGCGGCCTGGAGCGCACAATGGCCTCCATGGAGGACATCGCTAGACTTGCTACAGGATGCAGGAGGGACGCTTGCTCCAGCTAACAGGTTAGAAAGGACAGGAGGGGAAACAGGCTGAAAACTGGGATCAACTAAAGGGCTGTGTACAGAACAGCTGCACTGGTTGGCTCCATCCACTGTCATACCTTCAACCCAGCAGCAGGCACTTAACGCCAGGTGAATCAGAAGGGCGACCTCCTAAAATATTAAGCCAACAGACTAGAGCAGGGTTGGCAAAGTTTTCTGTAAAAAGCCAGACAGTGAATATTTTCAGCTTTGCAGGCCACATAGGGTCTCTATATCTAATGTTATTCCTCGTTTGAGAGGGAGGGTAGATGTGGTGCCCCAAGGCTGCCAAACTGCATATCTTACACAAAGCCTGCCAGTCAAAAAGCCCCACCCCATCCACGCAGCACCATAGCAGCTACCCATTTCGAGAGGCCTATGGTGGAAATAGACCTACCAATGTGACAGTGGATAAAATATTGGCCTGGTGCTTCATTTCTAAATATGAATCAGTTAACATGAATCCCTAGACACTGAGGCAAAACTAGAGCCTGAAAAAGAATGATCAAGATAAAGAACTAGAACCAGATCGCAGAGGAAACGAAATAATTTGGCAGCTAGCAGATAATTTTAACAATTTCAACTAGTGTGTCAGGGAGACTCAACCCATTTGAGTTCTGTAAAACAAGAGCAAAATGCTATGAGAATGAAATAATCAGAGAACCAGAGAGAGAAGAATTAAAACTATGATTGCCAAATTAACACCTTCATTAGGAGGTCTGGAAGACAAAGTGAAGACAATCTTCCAGACTGTAAAAGAAAAGACACGGATAGAAAAAGTAAGAGAACAGAGAGGCACATTAAACTATCAATCAAAAGTGGGAGCAAAAAAAAAAAAAAAAGGATTCAAAGTTTCCTTCCACTATTCTTTCTGAGAAAGTGCTTAAGAATGTGCTTTATTGGGAGGCTGAGACAGGCGGATTGCTCAAGGGCAGGAGTTCAAAACCAGCCTGAGCAAGAGCAAGACCCCGTCTCTACTATAAATAGAAAGAAATTAATTGGCCAACTGATATATATATAAAAAAAATTAGCCGGGCATGGTGGCACATGCCTGTAGTCCCAGCTACTCGGGAGGCTGAGGCAGTTGCTGTGAGCTAGGCTGACGCCACGGCACTCACTCTAGCCTGGGCAACAAAGTGAGACTCTGTCTCAAAAAAAAAAAAAAAAAAAAAAACAAAACAAGAATGTGCTTTAGCTAACCAAGAGAGTAAAACAAGAAAAAAAAAAGGACATAGAATCCAGAAAACAGTGGATTTAACCCAGAAAAATTGTGAAATGAAGGCTTGGGTTGAAAGCTACACAGCATGCCTAAACAATCACTTGTCCAGACTAGAGAAGCATGAAAGGGCTTTCTGTAAACAATGTTACCTACAAGGAAGGAGATGTCTTGTAATGAATTAAACTAAGTGGCTGGATAATTTCAAGAGCAAAGAATAAAGGTATACTATTCTTTTAACCACACTAAAAAACAAGGCACCCAAAAACTCCATGGAAAAGTAAAAGCTGATAAAATAATGATTCAAGTATGAAACAAACTAAAATGCAGCATGATTTGCAGGGATTAATGGAATGTAAGCAAAGAGAGTCTAGCTCACAGCAATCTCAAACTCTTGGGCTCAAGCAATCCTACTACCTCAGCCTCCCGAGTAGCTGGGACTATGGACATGCGCCACCATGCCTGGCTAATTTTTTCTATATATATTAGTTGGCCAATTAATTTATTTCTATTTATAGTAGAGCCGGGGTCTCGCTCTTGCTCAGGCTGGTTTTGAACTCCTGACTTCAAGCAATCCACCCGCCTTGGCCTCCCAGAGTGCTAGGATTACAGGCTTGAGCCACCGCATCCGGCCTGATTAAGCAATTCTGACAAATAGTTCTAGTCAAGAGCCATTTACTAATAAAACCTGAGATTTTATTATATCTCCATTCAAACCTAAGACAAATGATTTCATGATCTCGTATAATAAAGCAACCTCCTGAAGTAGGCTAGCCAGCTCTGTGATTCCTCATTTTTCATTCAGGGAAACTGAGTCTCAGCAATTCAGTTACTTTCTCTGGTGTTGCCTCCTGGCCACAAGCCTTTAGTATTTCCTATTAGACGACCATGTCATTCTAGGGGTGTTCTGGCTGAGACCTAGTTGGCAAGGCACTCCCTGTTGTTCACTGTCCAGAGAACTCTTGTCCCTCAGCTCAGCTGCAATGGGAGGGCTGCCCCTGGGGGAATGGGTGCGAAGCCTGTGCCAGTCTGTGCCGGAGAGGCACCCACAGAGCCTGGGATGATTGCTGGTTCTCTTCCAGTTGCTGTGGGTCCTGTTTACACTGCCTTATCCTGCTACGGCTGGCGTCACCCTGGAGTTGACACCCTCACCAAATGCTGGGGAGAAAAGGTCAGGCACAGCCACGTCTCCGCCCCAAAGAAAAGGATGCACTCAGAAATGAAAGTCTGATAATCCCCAAAACCCAGAAGTAGCAGGCTGGAACTGAACACATTCACTTTCAGCAATAGTAACTAAAAACCAAATTTGAGAATGAGGATGGAGCCCTGTAAATGCATGGGAGAATATTCTAAGTCCATCTAAAGACTTGCCAGTTTGTCTTAACTTTCAATTAAGAAATATACTGTACATATAAAACAAGGGGATGTGTACATAAAACATGTACCACTTAAAGAACCTAAAATCAGGCCAGACATGGTCACGCCTGTAATCCTAGCACTTTGGGAGGCCAAAGAGGGAGGAATACTTGAGCCCAGGAGTTCAAGGCTACAGTGAGCTATGATTAGGCTAGTGTACTCTAGCCTGGGCAACAGGGTGAAACTCTATCTCAAAAAAAAAGAAAAGAAAAAAAAAAACTCACATGTACAGAACACATAGTTTAAGAAACAGGCCGGGCGCAGTGGCTCACGCCTGTAATCCTAGCACTCTGGGAGGCCCAGGCGGGCGGATGGCTCAAGGTCAGGAGTTCGAAACCAGCCTGAGCAAGAGCAAGACCCCGTCTCTACTATAAATAGAAAGAAATTAATTGGCCAACTAATATATATAGAAAAAAAAACTTAGCCGGGCATGGTGGCACATGCCTATAGTCCCAGCTACTCGGGAGGCTGAGGCAGCAGGATTGCTTGATCCCAGGAGTTTGAGGTTGCTGTAAGCTAGGCTGACGCCACGGCACACACTCTAGCCTGGGCAACAAAGCGAGACTCTGCCTCAAAAAAAAAAGAAACAGAACATAACTAGAATTTTTGACAGTCTCTCTGCCTTGCCCTCCTGGGGATAATCACCTTCCTGATTTGTGGGTTAATTATTTCTTTTATATCTTCATAGTCTTATGGTGTATGTATGCATCCCTAAGCAGTATATTGTTTAGTTCTGCTTGTTTTTCAACTCCATATCATTGGAATCACACTGTATATAATCTGTGTCGTGCTTTTCTTGCTAGGTATGGTGAGATTCATCATTCATCAATGCGTGCAAATGTAGTTCATTTTCACTGCCATCTTCAGAGAGGTAGATAGTTTATCTATTCTGCTGTTGACTGTTTTTAGTTGTTCTATCTTTAACAATGCTACCAGGAAAACTCTTGAGAGAATGGCTAGTGTTTTAAAAAGCTCCTTCCAGAAAAGTCCTCACCCCTCCATCAGGAGGTCTGGATTTTGCCTCTGCAAGAAAAACAGGGCAGAAAACCCTGGCCTGTAGCAAAAATAGTAGGAGTTCTCTGCAACCAGATGTGATTCTCAGGATCCCATCCCTCTGCTCCCTACCCTGGCCTCACTCACACGCAGATGCCATCTCCTCTTTTGAACCTAAGATTCCACCTCCTGCTTTACATGGGAGAAAACAATTGGCCTTTTTAGAGGCAGCCTGGATTTCTCTGAGTCACACCCCTTTCCCTACTCTCTCCCCCCTTCTTTCCCAGGTAAGAGGAAACAGACTTCAATGAAAGGGCTCCATTGATAGGCCACTGAGTGTCACCTGAAGTGGAGGAGACACAGGCTCTGCCAGGCCTGCCGGGACAAAGGAAGTGCTCAGATGCCAGCTGTCCGGCCACTAGTTCCCCACATGTGCCACATGACAACAGAAAGAAGAAAGAAAATCTACCCATGGGCTGGGCCAGTCACTTTTCCATGTTACATATATTGTTCCATTTAAGGCTCATATAATTTGAAAGGTACAAAAACAGTAATAGGCAACACCATAGTAACACTTTCGCGATACAGACTATATGCTTGCTGCTGTGCTAAGTGATTTATATACCTTCTCTCAGCGGGTCCTAACCTGTTACTGTGGCCATGAAGTTAATTTAGGGGGTTAAGACCAGCATTTAAAAAAGGAAACAGGGCCGGGCGCTGTGGCTCACGCCTGTAATCCTAGCTCTTGGGAGGCCGAGGCGGGTGGATTGCTCAAGGTCAGGAGTTCAAAACCAGCCTGAGCAAGAGCGAGACCCCGTCTCTACTATAAATAGAAAGAAATTAATTGGCCAACTGATATATATATAAAAAATTAGCCGGGCATGGTGGCGCATGCCTGTAGTCCCAGCTACCCGGGAGGCTGAGGCAGAAGGATCACTCGAGCCCAGGAGTTTGAGGTTGCTGTGAGCTAGGCTGACGCCACGGCACTCACTCTAGCCTGGGCAACAAAGCGAGACTCTGTCTCAAAAAAAAAAAAAAAGGAAACAGGTTAAGATTAGAAATAGACAGAAAATACTAGAGAGTACCCCATAACGTAAGGGTAAGCATTGTTTTGTGAAACTTTTGTTTCACTCGTATTCATGTATATTCATTTATGCATATTGGATCATAATATGAAATGTATCTCTCACTGTGGGCAGAGGCTAAAGGATGTTGTAAAACACTTCCTTATCTATTTCACAACTGTCCCATTGAGATATGTTCAGTTACTAACCTAATTTAACAGAAAAAATAGCTGAAGCTACTTCTTCAACTTACCTGTGCCACACACCTTGGCCATCTCACCCCATGCTCCCAACATACTGGCCTCCTTTCTGTTCCTCTTTTCTCCCCTAGAACATGTGCTGTTTCCTCAGCCCAGAACATTCTCCCCACACCCCTCACCAGCTCTCAGCTTGGCTGGTTCCTTCCCATCCTTCAGGTCTCAGCTTTGGTGCCATCTCTGCAGCAGAGAGCCTGCCTAGAGCTCTGGTGTGAGCAGCCCCTCTCCCACTCGTGGGCACTCAGACATTTGTTTGCTTGTTTGCTGTCTGCCTTTCCCCACTAGAACTCCAAAGACAGGGATAACATCTGTTATATTCACCAAAACGTTCCTAGCATCCACTAGAGTAGCTGGCACATAGCAGGCACTTCACATTTGTTAAATGGATGAAGAAAAATCCCAAGGCCTCATGGTTAGTAAAGGCCAAAGCCAGGATTCCAACCCAGGCCTGTCTGACCTGAGGCCTGCTCTTAACCCTGCAATGCCTTCAAACTCAAGACAGCACAATGCTGTCCCTGCACACACCACTAGAAAGTGCTAGCACCAGGAAGGAATCCAGGCATGTCCAACTCCCAAGGCTCACGTTCTCTCCATCATGTCACATGGGTGAGGAGCTGTGGGTGGCTAACAGGAGCAGCCTCTGTGATCAGCTGAGAATGTGGAGGGGACAGGTGAATGAGGCGGCTACAAACCCTTCAGACTAGAAAAGAAGAAATTTGCCAGTGACTAAAGAAATACCACAAGAAACCACACGAGCACATAATTTCTGCTGCGTCCTGGAGAGCAGCCAGCTCAGAAACGAGGGTGGGAGCTCCCTAGGCAAGCAGTATTCTGAGAAAGAGGTCTGGAGAAACAGCCAGGGGCAGCAGAAACACTCAAAGGGCAGCCGGTATGGAGGGCTGAGGCTCCAGGGCCTGCACTTTAAGGCCTCTGGGGGGCAGCGTTGAGCTGGTGATCCTGAGAGAGGCATCCTGAGAAGGCCCTGGGTGGCTCGTCCTGCAGACCACGCAGAGCGGCCACAGGGATACTCTGGCAACGCTGCCACCCTGTGGTTGTGGAACACCCAGCCCACAGGAAACACAATCTACAGATGGGTCAGTCTGTGGGTTCCTTCTTTAGTGGTCACTTATTGAGCACCTAATATGGGTCTGACATGGCTCTGACCTTCAAGGAACTCTGCCCCTTATGACCAGGCATTGGCCAAACCTCTACTTTTTACCTCCCTCTTTTCACAATAACTTGTGCCCCTACCCCAAACAAGACTGAGGGCAAGGATGTCATCTTAGTCATCTCTGAAGCTATAGTTCCTAGAATAGGGCACAGCACATCAGAATAATAAAGCAGCTACTATTTAATATGTGCTAAGTGCTTTTATCTTAGTTTAGAGACAGAGTCTCACTCTGACACCCAGGCTTGAGTCAGTGGCACAATCATAACTCATTATAGCCTTGAACTCCTGGGCCTCCGAGTAGTGGGGACTACAGGCACACACCATGAGATTTGGCTAATTTTTTTTTTTTTTTTTGGTAGAGATGGTGTCTCCATATGTTACTCAGGCTGGTCTCGAACTCCAGCCTCCAGCGATCCTCCCATACTGGCCTTCCAAAGTCCTGCGATTACAGGTGTGAACCACCCTGCCCAGCCTTGTGCTTTTGTATACATTCTCAAATTTCACCTTTGAGGTACCTATGAGATCTCCAAATGGAGATGTAGTTTATTTCAATATAAGCCTGGAGTTCTTGGAGAGGTCAGGGATGGAGAAACAAAGGTGGTGTCACCAGTGCACAGATGGTATATCCTTAAAGCCCAGTACCTCTCAAAGCCCGGTGCACATGGCTCGCTAGATTTTGCCAAAATGCAGACTCTGACTCTGCAGTCTGGAGTGGGGCCTGAGACTGTTTCTCACAAGCTTCCAGCTAGTGCCCGTATTGCTGGCCCGCAGACCCCACTTTGAATGGCAAAAATCTGGAACAGGGGTAAATAAACTATGGCCAGGAGGTCAAATGTGGCTTACGTCCTGTGTGTGTATAACCAGCAAGCTAAGAGTAACATTTTCATTTTTACAGGGGCTGAGAGAAAGAAAACAAAAGAGAAGGAAGGAAGAGGAGGATAAGGAACGGGGGAAGGAAGGAAGAAGGGAGAAGATGGAGAAGAAAAGGAGACCAAGACCATTTGTGCCTCACAGAGCCTAAAATATTTACTCTTTAGTTCTTTACAGGAAAAGTTTGCCAACCCCCAATTTAAAATATCACCCATGGACAGGTGGTTAGCTAAAAAACGGAGAGACGAGGACCAGGCCCTTAAGCAAACTGTTGTGACTTCCAAATCACCATGCCTGGTTTGGGTAGGGAAAGTAAGAATGCAAGGTACTGCATGTACAGTTGGCCCTCTGTATCTGTGGGTTCTGCAACTGTGGATTCAACCAACCACGGAACAAAAATATTTGGGAAAAAGATAGACAGTTGCATCTGTACTGCAACAGGTACAGGTATTTTCTTCTTGTCATTATTCCCTAAATAATATAACAACTATTTACATAGCATTTGCATTGTATTAATGTAGTAAATCTAGAGATGATTTATAGTATATAAGAGAAGAAATGTGTAGGTTATATGCAATTATTACAACATTTTATATAAGGAACTTGAGCATCTGTGGAGTTTGGTATCAGCAGGGGGTCCTGGAACCAACCCCCGACGGATGCCATGGGACAACTACATGCTAAGAAAATAAGAAATGATGAGCTAACCTCTGAGGCTTCTGGGTAACTGGGGCTGGTCCCGGGGAAGGGGTTCTGGAGACATTTGGGGTTCTGAGTGAGAAAAAGAACCAGTGGTGAACCAATAACTAACTGTCTCTTTCAGTGTTGATCCTGGAAAAAAACAACATAAACAGAAAGAGAGGGCAGGGCCCCACCACTAATGTGCAGTGCCACAGAAGTGCTGGGGACACAAAACAGACAGGAAAGCCTGGGAATTCCACAGGGTTGTCCTACAGAGCAGAACCCTCTGAATTTTGGCCATGGGTGTGGAGGGTGGGTAGAGGGGTTGGGGAAGGTGTGGGAAAGAGTGTGGCAGCAAAATAATGGCCCAGAACCTGCAGTCTGGGGACCACTCCAAGCTGAGTTTGGCTATAGTGCCTTCTGTCATGCTTCTGCCATCCTGTGTTGAAGAATACATTTGTTTAAATGTCAGCGCCTGAGAAAGTAAATACAGCTGTCCATTTCCACCAACTTGAACCAATTAATCTGGCTCTCTTTCAATGGAGGGCCAGGCTGTTTTGCTTTAAGTTGTGAAAGGTTTGCTTGCCTCATCATCAAATAAGTGCTTACATATATTTCTGAAGGACAATAGCACCTTTTCATGGGGTTTAGGGAAGCCTATCTATCAAAAGACCATGCAGCAGGATATCTGTAAAGCCAAATTGTTCTTAAATGCTGGAGGGCAAATAAGAAGGGAGAAGCATGTGACAGAGCTGCCAAATGCTGCAAAACAGACCCCAGAATTTCCTGGTTGGAAGAAACCTTTAAGGTCAACCAGTCTCCCTCATGTTTTCAGCAAAGCTGCCTACAAAATCTAACCATCCAGAGAAAACACACACATGTCATGCCTGGCTTTTGGCATGGAATATTCTCCTTCTTTTTAATAAATTAAAAAATATTTATAATCAAAGATAAATCTCTGCCTTTTAACCCATGAGTTCCTACCCTTCTCAAGTCCCCCTCCCTAGATCACACTATTTGTCTCTCACACCAGAAAGTAGGCACCTTCAGGGAAGTGACTGATTTTTGCAGCACCCAGCACACTGGTTGGCCCATACTATATAAAAGTGGTGGGCAAGATAACAGTCTACTGAAAGACCTTAGTTTTCCTGCCACCTACTAGCTATATGGTTTTGGACATGGTTACTTAACCTTTTAAAACCTGTTTCCAACTGGGCTGGTGGTTCACTGCCTATAATCCCAGCACTCTGGGAGGCCCAGGCAGGAAGATTGCTTGAGGACAGGAATATGAAACCAGTCTGAGCACAGCAAGACTCTGACCCTACAATATTTTTTTTAAAAATTAGCCAGGCATAGTAGTGTAGGCCTGTAGTCAGTTACTCAGGAGGCTGAGGCAAGGGTATCACTTGAGCCAGAGTTCAAGGCTGCAGTGAGCTATGATGATGCCACTACATTCTAGCCTGAGCAATAGAGTGAGACCTGTCTCTAAAATAACAAAAATTAAAAACCACCCCCCCAAGCTGTTTCCTCATCTGTAAAGTCCTCTCACAATACAGCTGTTTCGAGGATTAAATGCGTTAATACATGTAGACTACTTTGAATGGTGGCTAGCACAATAGTAAGAGTTTAGTAAGTGTTGAAAATTATTTTCATTCAATTAGTAGATGAATCTATTATTATAACCCATGAATCACACTCTTTCCCCAAAACATATTACACCAGAACAGGGTTTCTCAACCTTGACATTATGTCTTTGTTGTGGAGGCCTGTCCTGTGCATTGTAGGAAGTTTAGCAGAATCCCTGGCCTCTACCCACTAGATGCCAGTACCACCCACGTGCCCTCTCCCCCACCTCCACTGCCAGTTCTAACAACCAAAAATGTCTTCAGAGATTGCCAAATGTCCCCTGTGGGAAAAATCCCCCCATCTTCATTGAAAACTATTGTATGGAGAGTCTGGTCACTACACCCCCTAATTCCCTACCACCCAATTCTCCCCTCATGCAGCCACCTTGGCCACCGCTTGCTCACCATTCAGTTGTCTTGGAGGGAACAGGCGATAGTTGCTGTAGATATCATTGGAGAACTGCAAATGGAGCTCGGGGGTTCCGGTCAGGAGCTGGGCAACCTGTTCTACCTGAAATGGTGTCTTCTCCAGGATGACAATGGCATCCTCTCCATCCCCATCCCTCAAGGCCTCATTCACCTGTGGACAGAGGCATCATCAGTGTGCTCAGGGGCAGAGCCACAGGTGAGGCCCAGAGAGCAAAGGCAAAAGCTCCCACTGCTTCTGAAATCCCAGCACTTGGGATTTCCTTCCCTGCAGTCTTCCCTCTGGGGAAGCCTAGCTAATGGCACTCATATCTCTTTTCTTAGAAAAGGCACATCAACCCAAATCCTTGTGGCAGCTCTCACACTTTTCCAAAAGATGCTAAGCTTCTCAGCTGTCTTTTAATTTAGGCTTACAAGATTTCCATCAAATTCTCCCCATTTTAGAAGAAAAGATGAAAAAACTGAGGTCTTGAGATATTAAGTGACTTGCCCAAGGTCATAATTCAGTGCTGAAACAGAAACTAGAATCTTAGTCTCCCAACTCACTCCTAGCTGGAAGGTTCTCATGGCGAACAACCTCAGCAGGTGCTGCACACTGAAGATAGGTGGGGCTGAGAAAACCAGACGGGATCTTGTGAAAAACAAGAGACACAAAGAGGGACATGGAGGCCTAGGCCCTGGTTCCCCCAATCTTCCCAAAGGTGAGTTCCTGCTCCTAGCCTGGGAAAGCTCCAGGCCTGCCCTGGTTAGGCCCCCTCACTAGTGCCTGGGATGGTCTTCATCTCTCCTCAGCTCCTGCTAGAAGGCTGAGCACATGGTATTAGAGCCAGCTGTGTGCATCTGTCTCCCTCAGAGATATTTTGCAGTATTGAAGATCAGGGATGATAACTCTCATCTCCACATCCCCACACCTAGATCAGAGCCTGGCTTTCATGCGCTTGCATGGAATTGAATTAAAAATTTAATACTGTCTCCTGCTAGGGCTGAAGTCGTGTAAAGCAGGGATCATATCTCCTGCAGTCTCTGTGTCGTTTCCAGGGGCAGGGACGAGCAAGGAACCCAACAACATTTACTGGGTTCTAGCCCCTTTAAATATTGAATGAACAACGATGAATGGCTTGGAGAATTTAACACGTGGCTTGTGATCTGCCATACATTCCACAATTATTAGCAGATATTTCTAGTGAAGGAAAAAGTAGACTTAGATGTTTATTCCCTTAATACCACGGGTAATCTTGTCGCCTCTTACCCCTCCCCATGCATACTAGTGGTGCACCCCGCCTCCCTAGAGTAATGTGACTGGTATTTTCCAACGGAGATCCGCAGAAATTCGCAGATCAAGGAGAAAGAAGACTGGTTCCCTCCTCCCCGCATCCCTCCCGGGGGTCACCTAGTGGTACCTTCCCGTGTAGGAAAATGACTTTGTCCCGCGCAGACTCCCTCAGCACTTTTTGCACTCTAAAGCCTGAGAACGGTAGGCGGACAGGGGCAGAGGTACCATTCCCAACACCTGCTACACTCTCCTCTGTGTCGAGGGCCTGCGCCGCCTCCGCGTCCTCTTGCTGCTCGCGCTTCCTCTTGCTGGGTTGCAGCGCCGCATCCGCCATTCTGCCCGGAGGAGGAGTGCGCCTGCGTGCCAGGCCGGCACCCCGCCCCCGGCTGCCGCGCCGCCTCCCGGCGTTCTTCGCGCGCCACCTCCTGCCGGCTGTGCGCGCGCCTCAGAGCGCGAGGCCGCCGACCTGCAGGGGGCGCCTGTTGTCCGGGTTACCGTCTGGGTCCGGAGGCGCTGGCCGGCCCGAGGGGACAAAAGGCCGCGGCGGGCGACGTGGGGACGCGGCGGGGAGGAGCCGGCGTCCCTCCCGGTGTGTAGGTGCTGGACGCTTCGTTTGAATACTGACGTCTTAGTCACGATTACACCAGCGTTGACTGGTTATCCTGGAAGGAGAGTTTCTGAAACAAATCTGTGAGCTAATTTTATTCTTTGGGAGATTTTATTTTTTTTTTATAGCGAGCACTTAAACCTTTTCCAGTGTATTCCTATTTTCGTTATTTTACAGAAATTTTGACTGTGATTAATTCTTTTCATTATAAACACTTTTTGCTGAAAAGAAAGGTAAACGAACAGAGCCAGAGGTGGCAGTTCCATCACCTACTACTTTTCTGCCAGGCTGGAAGCTTCCACCGCCTCTGTATCCAGTTTGCCTGTGTTTCCACCCTGCGCGATGTGGGCGGTGTGGTTTGCAATACGACTCATCTGTCAGGGTTTCTTTTCTTTTTTTGGCCATATAAAAATTTTACTTGTGATTTCTGCTTTTGTAAGTTTTTTGTTGTTGTTGTTGCCATTGTTTCTGGCTAGCTGGATTTTCCTTGGTGTTTACAGATCTAAATTTTGTCAAGAAGATTTGATAAATCAAGTTTTAGTCAGCCATACATTATTTTTGCCAGTGTTTTATTTTTTCAGACAAATCTAATGAGTTTGAGACATTTTTTGCAATTTTCAATATTAGCAACAAGATGGAGTTTTGTCAATAATAAAGTGTACATGTGTTAATAACAGTTTGATTTTGGGACTATTTCTACCAGAAACATACAAGATCTGTCCAAAAGGTGTCCAGCTGTTGTTAATATAAAAACGGTTTGCGTGATGTCATTGTAACCTGACAGCCAAGGAAAGTGAACTGGAATGCATCTTTGTGAACAATTACACCTTCATTGTACTATTTAGTGGGGCGCTAGACACCACTGAGTGGGCATGTTTATTGTGTAGCTGTCCCATTCAAAATGACTGAATAGAGCAACTGAATCTGCATTAAATTTTGCATTAAGCTTGAACATTCCTCCGAGGAAACTATTCAGATGATTCAGAAGGATTTCAGGGATGGTGCAACAAGTGCAGCGCAAATAAAAGTGTGGCACAGATCAGGTGTGGTGGCTCACACCTGTAATCCTTGCACTCTGGGAGGCCGAGGCAGGATCGCTTGAGCTCAGGAGTTTGAGACCAGCCTGAGCAAGAGCGAGACCCTGTCTCTACTAAAAGCAGAAGAAATTAGCTGGTAGTGTAGGGCAGAGGAAGGGCAGAGGAATTTTTCCAATTGTCGGGAATTTACTTGGGTGGGGCAATGAGCTAACCGCAAACTTTTGCTTCTGGTCATTGCTTGCTTGCTACACCGCTGTATGGGGAATTATGGGATGAGGTCATTGAAGCAAGGGCGACTGGCCCATCAGGCAATAGAGGGCAACCAACCCGCCAATTATTTCAAAAGGCAATAGTGGGCAACCAATCATTTTAAAGGTCAACGCATGATCCATGCATAGTCAGCTTGTGGGCAGCTTGTGCACCATGGGGATAAAAGGCATGCCGTTGTTCCCGTTGGGGTCCTTGCCTGCGAGAGTGGCCACTGCGTTGGTGCTCTGGGGCTTGGACCCTGACTAGCTAGAAAATAAACCTCCTCTTGTGTGATTGCATCCTTGATGTCTCTGCTTTTCTGTCCTGTGGGGCTGTGGAAGGTCGGTCCCTAACAGTAGTGGTGGCTTGCACCTGTAGGAGGCTGAGGCAGGAGGATCCCTTGAGCCCAGGAGTTCAAGGTTGCTATGAGCTTGGCTGATGCCACAGCACTCTAGCCCAGGCAACAGAATGAGACTCTGTCTCACAAAAAAGTGTGGCACGATCACTCCACATCAAAAATGGTGGAGAATCTTTTGAAAGTGATCCATGTTCTGGAAGGCCTGCAACAAACAGAACACCTGAGAATGTTGAATGTATATGGGCTGCAATCAACAAAGATCAGCAACTGACTGTGCAAGCACTAGAAGCTGATCTGGGGATTCTAAAAACTGTGTTTGATATTTTGATGCAGGATCTTGGCATGAAACATGTCATTGCAAAATGTGTTCCGTGGCTTGTCCCACCAGTGCAGAAGGAACACTGTATGGCATTTGCTAATGACTTGCTTCAAACCACTACCAATGAACTGAAAGGCCCAAACTAGCCTAAAGGCCCAAACTAGCCTAAAGGCCCAAACTAGCCTAAAGGCCCAAACTAGCCTAACCAGCTTTTCGCTTCTGTAACTATGCTTGCTCTTAGGTAATTAAGACCCCTACCCCTCCCTTTTTCTTTATCTTTTCCCAGGACCGTAAGTGTCCGTCTTGCACAGTTCTCACCGGAAGTTGGGCTTGTCGTGCAGACTGTGTGCAAGATGGAGTAGCTCGGAATTTCCCACCCTACAGACTCCCTGGCCACTGCGTGTGGTCTCGCCGGCCGCATAAAAACCCAAGCTTGAGAGCTTGGGGCGGCAGCCTCCCCCATCTTGGTGACTGGCTGTTTAGACCTGCGCGCGCCTGGAATGAAATCCTCTTGCGTTCCCTCCTTGGCCATCAAGCCTCCTGGACTCCTGAGTTTTCTTGAGGCGCGGCCTCGTCTCTCTTCCAATCAGGAGCTGCGTACAGCTTTCAACTGACGGCCCAACATTTGGGGGCTCGTCGGGATCACGGAGAGGCGACTCTAACAAAGACGGGCGTGGCACCAGGCTTGAGTAGGCAGACGTCCGGGAGTTGTCCTTGTATGTTGTCTCGTGTGTTGTATCGTGGATGTGTCAGTTTTGAAGTTTGAATTGGACCGGGGGAGCCAGGGTATACGCCGTGAGCGAGGAACGTTCGCTCTGGACCAACGATACGCGGGTTTCTTGGCGGGCCAGGAAAAACTTGTCGCCCTGGAGGACGCTACAGGGATTACGGGTGAGTGACCAAGTGGCCTTGGTCCCGACTCCATCTTGTGTTGCCCTGCAAGTTGTCTGCAGGATGGGCAAGGTAACCTAGGGTGGTATCGTCTCCGCTTTGTCGTGTGGTTTCTGCTGGTGCAAGGAAGCAAGTGGCTTCAGTGGTTTGTCTACTGTCTGTGTTGTTGTCGCTTTTCCTCTTTTCAATGTCTCGCTTTTTAGCCGTGCCATCCAGGAATTAGGTGGGGCCAAGGGGAAGAGTTACTCCGTCTCTCCCCGTCACCTGACACAGTTGGAAGGAAGTACGAGACTGGGCGGCCGACGACGCTGCGTCCCGTCTCATCCGGCAGGCTGCGCTGGCAGGCGACGTTGTTGTGGGCCTCTGAGTGGCGGCCCGTGCCTTGGCGTGGGGGTTGGCGCGTGCAGATGAAACTTTTCAACCTTTCTGTTATTTCTGCAGTGAAAAAGAAATCTTTGCCCCACGCGCGGCACGCCCCCGGAAGGACATCCCTGAACTCTAAGGTCGCGCTCATATCATCTGTCTGGCAGGATCACCCAAACCCTACCCTTCTTGGGAAGAGCCGGTGCCCCAGCCTTCTCCCGCGTAGAGTCGGCCGCCAGATGGACATGCAGATCCCGGCAGCGGCGGCTCGGTGACCGTCTACCGCCCTGTAACTGATCCCGGCAGACAGAATCCTCGCTCCTGGAATCATGGCCCCGCTGCACCCTATGATCCCAGCGACTCGAGCAGGCGGGCATGGCAGCCGCGGCCCGCGCCAGGGCTGGGGACAGCCCCACGGCCCACGGCCCCTGATGGTTAGGTCCGGCCCAAGGCGCGAGCTAGGAGTAGAGCGAGGGTTGTCTTCGGATTCCATTGTCGGCCTGCCCCTACGCCCCGAGGGAGTGCCAGTCTCCCACATCTGGGCCGAGGCGTCGGATGACGACGACAACGCTCCCCTCCCAGCTCCTCGGCGAATATTGGCCTTTCGTCCGACAGCTGATTCTCTATAGATTGAACAATCTCAACAGAACTCGAACTTGCTCCTCCCAGGAATCTGGAGCCATAATTAAGTCTTTAGACTGCGGCTGGTTTTGTTCACATCGATCGCAGCGGCACCTGAGATATTGCCGCAGCAGTATGCCTTAAGGTCCCTCCCTTCACAACGGAGGGAAAGAGAAAGGATGTCAGGGAGCCGCGGCAACGTGGTTCCGGGGGAGACGGGGCAGAACCGTGTACTGGGACAAACGGGCGCCCCGCCGCACGGCCGGCCTACCGGCAACCCCATCCGACCGAAGACGTTTGCCCGCCTGTGAACGCCAGCCGCTTTGGCGACGTGTACAATGAGGCTCGAAGGTGAGGGAGCCGTTCGCGGTGCTACCGCGGCAGACTCTGATGGGCGCGGTCTCTGACGTGGCCGCGGGCGAAAGCCGACGGATTGTGGCCAAGGGTGAGGAGATTTTCGTCTGGCAGCCGGCTCGGCGAGGGCGGAGGAACGTAGCCGCGGGCAGCGATACTTAGAGAGGTATCATTGGCGAGGCGGCCCTTCCGGCACGGGTCACAGGCAGCCGCATAGATCCAAGCCTATGGAAAGGGGCACGAAGGCCACTGTTATCGGGATGGCGCGTTTGTGCAAGTCAGGCGGCCGACATCTAGGCGCAAGGGTGCAGAGCCAGGACTCGGGATACAGGGACGTCGGGCGAGAAGACTCCCGCGCAAGGACCAGGGTGTTAAACGAGTGGCGGAGGGAAGGTTTATAGACGATAGAGAGAACGCCAGAAGAGAGGGTAGGCAGGAGGCGATCCAGGATGAGAAAATAGGGAAATGTACGCCAGAGCTGGAAAAGCCAGCGAAAGGCAAAGCAGCAGAGATGGGCTGCAAAATCCTAAGCGCTACCGGCGGGGCCGGCAGCCAGAGGGGGGAAGACTAGGGTCAGAGGATAGGGGAAGGCGC